TTCGATTTCTAATCATACTGGAGTTAAGTGAATAGTGCTCCAGTAATTTGTGAAACATTTACTTATTTAATGCAATTAACAACAAGACTACAGATTAGGAGTTTATTGATTAACTGAATGCAAGGCTTTCCCACGTTATGTGTCTAACGACTTCAAAAAGATGAGTTATTTTCCAGCACCACTGGACAGTTAAACTGTTTTCAAACAGTGTCACAGCACACAATGCTCCATACAGGAAAATGCAGACTGGTACTAAGGTGCATACCATTTAGAAGCAGCAGCAAACGGTAACATTTCCAAATAAATGTACAGTGGGGAAAGTTTATGTACCCATAATTTAGTATTGCTGAGGTAGAACGCCTGCAGTATTTGCATCCCAGAGATGGCTGTAGTGATAAAGTTTATATCACGTGTGGTCATGAAAACAGCCAAACATATATACTTGCCAAACTATGATGTACTAATACATTTCAAACTATTAATATAAACATCCTTGTGATTGTCACTAAGACCTGCCCAGATTAGTTGCATTATTTCTATAAATATCAAAGAGGAAAAGGCTATTAAAAAAGCCAAAGACAAATAAGCAAAATAAGAAGTAGGTAGACTAAACATGAGGCATTAACAAAATATGTGATAATGCCAGGGTTGCTATTAAATTTTTATTTCCACTTGTTTCAGAAAACGTGCAGAACTCACTTGTGAGTTAAACGCAGCCATCTCAGATTCCTGGCAATAAAGATTTTATAGCCCAAATACATATTTTTTCCTCTATCACACACATTTATTTGGCTCGTTAAGCTACAGTAAAGCTAGCCAATTGCTCAATCCATTTAGCAAAGTACCTGCAGCTCCCACTTCAAAATCAGCAAAATACTGAATATAGGAATTCTCTAGTACTCAGAGAATTTTATTAAGAGTTACATCAAAGCAGAACTATTGAACATGGACAACTTCTTCTTGACTTCAGCCATATTTTTGTGCCAATTGATCACAAACACTCCCCCTCTCACCTTCAACAAAATGTTTCCTTCACTAAACCCTGCCTTCCACTCAAAGGTTAGGGAATGCAAACAAGACTCAGCTGAAAACTGAAACTCCGATAAGTGATGCATTGCCAAGAAAGAACATCCTAGCCAGACAGGTTAAGCTACCGGAAACAAAACCAGACTTCTTGGTTGTTTTTTTACTCCCCACACAATCAGCACTCTCATTTTACTAGAAAAGAGAATCCACCCCAGAAGCAGAGGCTGCTCTAGTTATAGGTCAATCAGTGGCAGATTTCTGGGAGAACTAGTGTGAATTGCGGAGCGCTCTAACTGCCCTGAGGAGACCCTGCTGGTGCAAACTACATTGATGTAGTCTATTTGGTCAGGCAAGCTGCTGGGCCCTGCTTGGAGAGGCCCGTTCGCATGTGCACTACAGGAGTGCCAAATCTGATGGTGGGAAGCAGCGGCAGGGAGGAGCCTCCCATCTCACTGGACTAGGCAGGTAAATGTTGGGGGTGGGTGGGCAGCTGGTACCTGCTCCTAGCAAGGGGGTGCACAGTGGAGGTGGTGAGAGTGAACTGGGGGCACTCCTGCCTCCTGCAGGCACTCAGCTCCTACCCCCCACACAATCCCCCTGCCTTTCCCAGACACCCATTACCCCCAAGCCTCTTCCCATACACCTAACCCATCACCCAGTCCCCAGCTCCCAAACCAGAGTCTCCCAACCCCTTGCTGCCTCCCCCCACTGCAATTCCCAGGAGAAAAAGGATCCTCCAGCTCTGATGGAAAGTGCCCCAGCTGCCACCTCCTCAGCCCCGCAGTACAGGCTCTCTGGACCAGGGGCAACATACTGAAGTTTTGCCTTGGGCGGCAGATTGTCTTGAGCAGCCTCTGCCCAGAAGTGCTAAGTCACAAAACTGAGTATATCCAAGTTGTGAACAATGGAGACCTGAAAAATCTGTTTGCCTTCATCTGTAGGACAAGTCACTTCCCCATCCACAACTCTGTTCTCAAGCTGCTGCAGTAATGGTGCCTCTGGCACGTCCCTTGGAAGTCTGGAAAAAACACAGCAGTGGACCTGTCTTGCCTCAGTGAAAGCTTCCTCCATTGTCAATTACAAGCCCTTTATTTTGGGGACCGTGTCTTTAGGTGCCAGACACATGCACTGTAAGTTACAGGACAACCTATAAGAAGAAAAATAATGCATGTGTGTAGACCCCTGAATTCTCTAGGTTTTCAATTCACCCTAGGAGAACAAGCCACACAAATACAATGCCCAAGGCACCAATGAGTTAGTCCAATAGTACAATCACCGAACATCCAGTATCATTAACACAATGGCCACAACCTGCCCCTGACATGAACCAAAATGATCATTCGGGTTCACAGATCAACTACAGCAGGCGAAGTGCACAGACAGAAAGCTTGAGTGCAAACCACATTCTGCATCCATCCTCCAGCAGCACAGACAACTCTTACAGGATTACGCCACGGCAGTAATGGATGCAAAATGAGCCTTCTACCCCTCCACTCCCAAGGCCAGCACAGCTATTTTGCATAGTAAACTGGCTAATCAATCCAGACTGCATAGCCCAAATATCTGACACAAGCATCAACCACGGGGAAGAGTAGCCAGCATATTTTGTGGATAAGATAAATTGAAAATGTATGGAACACACTGGGACAAATGAAACTCCACTCAAACTAGACTCTATTACCCACCCTGACACAGTTTGGCCCCATCACACAGAACAAACTTAAGAAGCCCCACAAAATGTTAGAGCCACAACCCGTGAAATAGATCCATGCCCTGCCTGGCTGATAAAAGCCAGTGAAGAACTACTATGCCCACTCAATGGAAATAATCAATGTCTCCTTCAGACAAGCACACCTACAAAACTCTTTGAAAAATGCAATAGTTTGCCCAATCCTCAAGAAGCCATCACTGGACCCTGAAGATCTCCCCTACAACCATCCAGTCTAGAGCCTCCCCTTCCTAGACAAAATAACTGAAGCAGCAATAACCACCAAGCTCAAACAACCACACATGACATCGGCCAACATCCTGGATGCCTCACAATCAGGGCTCAGCACAGAGACAGTTCCATTGGCACTAAATGACATTATGGCCATGGACACAAGACTTCCATGTTCACACTGCTTGACCTTTTGGCTGCCTTTGACACAGAGGACCACTTACTAACCCAGTTACATGATGTAGCAGGAGTAGGTGGCCCAAGCCTACAGTGATTCCATTCATTCCTCTCCAGCAGACTGAGTGGCAATAGGTAACTGCTCCCACCCGCCTCCAAAGCCACTCATCTGCAGAGTCCCACGGGGATCCATACTATTCCCTCTGTTATTGTCAATATCCCTGGATAAGGGAGAAGCTGTGGATGTGGTATACCTAGACTTTAGTAAGGCATTTGATATGGTCTCGCATGATATTCTTATCGATAAACTAGGCAAATACAATTTAGATGGGGCTACTATAAGGTGGGTGCATAACTGGCTGGATAACCATACTCAGAGAGCTGTTATTAATGGTTCCCAATCCTGCTGGAAAGGTATAACAAGTGGGGTTCCGCAGGGGTCTGTTTTGGGACCGGCTCTGTTCAATATCTTCATTAACGACTTGATATTGGCATAGAAAGTACGCTTATTAAGTTTGCAGATGATACCAAACTGGGAGGGATTGCAACTGCTTTGGAGGATAGGGTCATAATTCAAAATGATCTGGACAAATTGGAGAAATGGTCTGAGGTAAACAGGATGAAGTTTTACTAAGACAAATGCAAAGTGCTCCACTTAGGAAGGAACAATCAATTTCACACATACAGAATAGGAAGAGATTGTCTAGGAAAGAGTACGGCAGAAAGGGATCTAGGGGTTATAGTTGACCACAAGTGAAATATGAGTCAACAGTGTGATGTTGTTGCAAAAAAAAGCAAACATGATTCTGGGATGTATTAACAGGTGTGTTGTGAGCAAGACACGAGAAGTCATTCTTCCACTCTACTCTGTGCTGGTTAGGCCTCAACTGGAGTATTGTGTCCAGTTCTGGGCACCGCATTTCAAGAAAGATGTGGAGAAATTGGAGAGGGTACAGAGAAGAGCAACAAGAATGATTAAAGGTCTTGAGAACATGACCTATGAAGGAAGGCTGAAAGAACTGGGTTTGTTTAGTTTGGAAAAGAAGACTGAGAGGGGACATGATAGCAGTTTTCAGGTATCTAAAAGGGTGTCATAAGGAGGAGGGAGAAAACTTGTTCACCTTAGCCTCTAAGGATAGAACAAGAAGCAATGGGCTTAAACTGCAGCAAGGGAGGTTTAGGTTGGACATTAGGAAAAAGTTCCTAACTGTCAGGGTGGTTAAACACTGGAATAAATTGCCTAGGGAGGTTGTGGAATCTCCATCTCTGGAGATATTTAAGAGTAGGTTAGATAAATGTCTATCAGGGATGGTCTAGACAGTATTTGGTCCTGCCATGAGGGCAGGGGACTGGACTCAATGACCTCTGGAGGTCCCTTCCAGTCATAGAATCTATGAATCTACAAAAGCCCACTGGGATTTAGTTTGCTGAGCCCAGGGGGTCTGACAATGGTGTGCCCATTGCACTCAACTACATATTTCATTCTCAAGTGATGCAACCACTGTCACTAACAAGATGTCAGAATGTCTTTGGGGAAAAAGAAAAAGAAAAAAAAAAATCAGCGCCTGGATGAAGTGCAGCTGGCTCTAGCTGAATCAAGGCAAGACGGATACAACACTGGTCAGAAAGAGAAAATGCACTGAAGAACTAGCAGAGACAGTGTCTCAACCTGCCACTGAAGGTATACAGCTCCCATTTGTCAGACAGGCACAAATAGGGTTCTCATATCATGGTAGGGAACATTCCCTCAGAACATAGCCAGCATGCCATGCTGCTCAATTTGATTAGGCCGAGACATCTTTGTGCTGCATGATTTGTGGCACTGCTAAAGGAGGATAAAACCAGACCGGAAACTTACCCACAATATCAACCACGTCAGGCCGGATGAGTGGTTCTCCACCAGTCAATCGGATCTTGTCCACACCTTCCTTCACAAAGAGCCTGGCGAGGGTGATTATCTCCTGGGTAGTGAGCAGCTCTGATTTAGGGGTCAGTTGAACTCCCTCCTCTGGCATACAGTACTGACCTGAATGAGCAATCAAGAAATACATGGGCAAAAGGAAGGATTAGCAAAGAGTCGGATCAGCCGCTGGCAAGGAATCAACACTGCACTTAGCTGCACTTTGCATAGCAATTGCCTATAATTGCCAATTGTTCTGTCTTGCAGAAATACAGGTAGCATGAACAGACAAGCCCACAGACACGGCTGCTGGCTTAATCTCCAAAACAACTTTACACCTACTTGACAGGTCTGTAAATCAAATTTGCCACTTAAGTCTGGAGGGAGGCAAAAGTATTGGTGTCACCAAATCTGTATTTTTTCACCCAAAAAGAGTTTTGGTTGAAATTTTTTGCCCAGCTCTAGTTCCTACAGGTGGACCTCCATATCCCATGGAGTACATGAACCTCACTGGGACATGGAGGGGGAAGAAACAGACAGACTTACATCTGAGGTTACATTTCTCAGTCAGGGAGATCCGCAGGTAGTTGTGCTGACGGCCAAAGCTGTCAGTCAGGAAAGCAGAGAAAGGGGCAGCATGTTCAGTTAGGAAACCTTTTCTTCTTGTGCTTGGCAATTCCTGAGGAGAAAAAGCAATAAAACAAATGATAGCTGTTTTCGTCTTCAACACACGTACAAATGTTAACTGAGTCTAAACTTCACAGGGAAATTATCATCCACATTGTACGGAAGGGAAAAACAGAGGCACACAGAAGCCAAGTGATTTTGACCAAGACCAAAGTGAGTCTCAGTGGAACAGCTAAGGAGTTCCAGGGGTTTCCCAATTCTCATCTCCTGCTGCATATTTAAGATAAAGGGGGAGGAACCATATTAAAGTTAGCCATTTTGTGTAGCAGTTGCTGTAGGCCTTCTCTGCAAAGTATTTTGCATGGACAGTTTGATTCTTTAAATATGTAAAGGCAGAGGGAAAGATATACACCCAAAATAGTCATCCAGAGGCCCTCGTGGTCCACAAATTGATCAACCTGGGCATGATCCTTGCCTAGCAGAAGAACTAAAAGTTAGAACTGACAGTACATCGCTAGCCTTCTGCCTGTGAAAGTTCAAGTATGAGGCAAAAGGCCCTGTCCAACGTAAGAACAAATTGGGCCACTTTGAACGGTCTTTTAAATCTGTTGGCAACAGCCATATTTAGTATGGTTTTCCGGCTTGAATTGTGTTAGAAGCCTTGTGCTGTGGACATGGCTTGGCTAACATGATTCCCAGCTGAAAGGCCCTGTGTAACTAGTCAGGGAGGCAGTGCTAAAACCCCTAATAGTAATATGACAGTGTTTTAAACAAGGCTGTAACTAACACAATGCTGGTCTCTTCTCCTTGTGTGTGCCTAAAAGTGCTAGAAGCATAACACATTTGGGACTACCCCTCTACCTCGATATAATGCTGTCCTTGGGAGCCAAAAAAAATCTTACCGCGTTATAGGTGAAACCGCGTTATATTGAACTTGCTTTGATCCACTGGAGTGCGCAGCCCCGCACCGCTGGAGCACTGCTTTACCGCGTTATATCCGAATTCGTGTTATATCGGGTCGCGTTATATCGGGGTAGAGGTGTAGTTACTCCAGGTTGTAACACTATCTGAAACCCCTGCTTCATCTTCCTGCATGTGTAGAGCCCTGCACGGATACAAAATTTGTATCTGCATCCTATCTGTGAGCTGTAAAAATGGTCTGCGGATATCTGCAGATTTGCAGGGCTCTATGCATGTGTAATTAAAGGAAGTAAAACACCAGCAAGGGCAGGGGGTCAGAGAACTGTACAATAGGGATCGAATGTGGGCAGAGCTAAGAAGAGACTCCCAGGCCTGGGTGGGATAGGCAAATCTAAGTTTCAAACAAGTGCTGCTCAAGACACAGACCGTATCAAACAGCAGCTAACAAAAGGTGGAAAGGGGAAAAAAAGAAGAAAGAAAGAACACCCAAATAGGGTGCCAACCCTCTAGGATTGCCTGGAGCCTTCAGGAATTAAAGATTAATCTTTAATTAAAGATTATATCATGTGATGAAAACGCCAGGAATACGTCCAACCAAAACTAGCAACCCTACGCAATGTTTAGTGCACTAGGGTTAAAGTTGAGCAGCAGCCCCAGGGCCACCGTTTTGCTTACTGGGCCATTAAGAGAAGCTGATGCTTGATTATAAACATCTTCGTTATAAATAATTCTGCATCTCATCCCTTTCACAGAGGGGTGCTGGTAGGAAATCATGGTGTCAGCAGCTGCTGGCTTCTTACTCAGTGTCATAACCCCCTGCTTATAACCTGACCATCTTCACAGCAAGTGGCAAGGACTCTGCTCTGGAGATCAACTACAGACCAGTGGTCCAGCAAAATGTCCCTAAGAATAAAGAATGGGAGTATTAGAGAGTTAAAGGAAAGTTTGTCTTTTACCTATTTCCAAGTAAGGAAATTGCAACCACTGATCCGCCGAGGGAGTTACCTCTATCTCTTAGCTACTTGGGGAACAAACCCAGACTTGTTTGTGGATGGGGATTAAGACTTTAGAAAACCCCTCCAGAAATATTTATTTTAAAAGCAGAGAGAGTGCCAGCATCTAAATTAACACATTAAAGTGATAGAACAGATTGTTCCCAGAGCAAACTAATTCAGAAAGAGCTATTTGCCAAACTTTGCTTCTGCTGATGCCTGCAGGTTCAACATATGTTGTGTGGAAGACTAGAATGCTTTCTCTAAGAGGCTCAAACTGCACCTGTATGCCTCAGAAATGCAGGTATGCTTTCCGTCATCTAGATTATATGGCTGGATTCTAAAATATTATACCAGCATAAATCTGGACACCGCTGAAATCAATGGAGCTACTCCAGATATGCACCAGTGTAAATGAGAGTAGGTTGTATTGTTGTACAGGCTTCAGAAGTCTTTGGGATTCTCTCTCCACTTCACAATAACGCAATATCCTCATTAATTTTATTTCTAAATCTCTCGATTTTTGAATAAACCTATGAATGGCGCCTATCAAGCTTGTACCTGGTTCTCTCCCCACCCCATATCTCAACTCTGCCAAGTTTAAACGCACCTTGGAGTTGGAGTAAAACTATATAAATGAGCTTCCCACCCATATTCCCTGTGGCCACTCTCCCTCCTCCACCTCCTATCCCATGGTCTATCATATCATTGAAGCCTCTGGCTAAAGAAATAGCTACTGTGAAAAAATTTGAAAACAAAACCACAATTTGACACAAAGGAACTGAGATCCATGGTCTGCTATTAACATGGAGAGCTGAGCCTAAGGTTTGAGACCCTGAAGACAGACAGGGTGACTGCAGCCAGTTTGCTCCCTGCCTTTGGGCTAATCCCCAACCACTTCCCATGTGAGATTACTCCTAAGCAGCATGCTGCAGTATATTAGCAAGTCTGGATATACAACTGCCTCAAAAAGCTTTTTACACTGTTAAGGTTTGAACAAGCACACTCAGATGAACCCCAAAGCTGAAGTCTTGGATGCACTGAGACCACAAGATGTACCTTTTCAAGTAGTTCTTTCATCTCACTCTACTGAAAGCTACCAAGCTTTGCCTACTAGTTATATCAGAGAACTAGGAGCCAGGGCTTCTGATCTCTACTCCCAGCTCTGCCACTAACCTGTAGGGTTATTTAACCCCACTGTACTTCCACTTCCCCACTTGTAAGACAGGGATAATACTAGAACCATTTTTATAAGGGTTTTCAGAGGCTCAAATGAGAGGAGCTATAGAATTACCAAGTGTTTGGGTTTTTTTAAAAATACCTACATGCTTTTATCTGGTGGTGGATGCTCACATTTCTCCATTTATATTAATGGAATTATATTAAGATTTTATGGAGACCAATTGAATAATTATGATTGACACTGAGCAGTCACTGCAGTGGGGGAGGTTTAGGTTGGATATTAGGAAAAACGTTTTCACTAGGAGGGTGGTAAAGCACTGGAATGGGTTACCTAGGGAGGTGGTGGAATTTCCATCCTTAAAGGTTTTTAAGGCCTAGCTTGACAAAGCCCTGGCTGGGATGATTTAGTTGGGGATTGGTCCTGCTTTGAGCAGGGGGTTGGACTAGATGACCTCCTGAGGTCCCTTCCAACCCTGATATTCTAGGATTCTAAATGGAACGAAATAAGGTTACAATAATGGGATGAGGTGTGTGAGATGCAGTGGAAATGATTCTTAGAAATGCAATGCATTTTGTTTCCATTAATGCTCTTCAGACACAACATCACAAAATCATTTAAGGAGACAGATTTTGTGTTAGCAAGTTAAAGAAAAAGGGAATATTTTAAGTCCTGTGACTACAGTGGCCAGTTCCAGTCATTCTAGCTGTCCTTGTTAGGTTATAATGGGCAAGGGGTTAAAGGTTAAATGATAAGATAACCTCAGACGTTAAATGAGTGACTGGACTCTAGGGCTGCATTATGTGGATGATATGGAGAGGATGAGAGAACAAGCCACGTGACAGATGTTAGTCACATCACTCAGTGCGTTACTGGAAGGAGCCCAGATACTGGGTTGATGAGCATGGTATAAGAACCTATACAGAGGAGCTATCCAAAGTTGCTCCTGAAAGAGCTCCAGAACTGCTCTGCCCGCACAGGTCGGATGCCAGGGGGTAAAGTGTAGAGGTGTACTTGTGAAGCAAGGATGCACGGCCCTGCCCACATTATGCCTGGCCAAGGTGGATTAAAAAAACAAACAAAAAAAATCAATGATTTAAAAAAAAAAAAAAATTTAAATCAGATTTTTTTGATAAAATGCTTTTTGAGGAAAAAACCTATCTAAAGATAGTTTTAATTAAGATACATTATAGCTCAAAGATATCTCATCATGGAATAGGGATTATAAATTCTAATTCTATAGTATGAGACAATATATTCATGTAAATGTTTAAGAAAAGTTTTGTAAATGAGTTCCAATAGTTCATGGATTAGGGACCCAATCTTATGGGGTTCCACAGGCTTCTGTATAGGTTATCTACCCAATGGGACTCAGAAATATTTAGTTTTGCAGTTCTCAACTGTGGATTTGTGTCTCCAGAGGTAACATGCTTGTTAACAGCAAAAATGTTTTAAATAAATAACTAAATAAATAAATATATAGAGGTGAGAAATAACAGACCTCAACTCTATTGTCCCTCTGGAAATTTGTGTACACAGAGTCAATCCCTTACCTCTCTCTAAAAGTGAAAGTTTCAAAAAGTTCAATGAATAGAAGATTTTCGGGAGAGGAAGTCTGGAGATAAATGTGAGAAGTGAGGGACATATGCTTGTTTTGTTAAAATATTATGTTTGCTGTTGAAGAAAAAAATCCAGAATACTTAACATTGTTGATTTAAATAAAACAATTTAAATGTCTGTCTGGTGATGTTCTCCTCCTAATACAGCATGGCAAGAAAATCCTCCAAATATTAATGATTAACCTGTTGAATTGGAGATAGTTCATCTCCCAATGACTTCATAAATATCTGCTTCAATTACCTTTGGTAAATGAAATAACCAAACAATCATTAATTTTCTGATATAGGTGTAAAACTAAACGGAAAAGTTTTCAAAATAAATCACTGTTTAAAAATGTAT